AACCGGCGATAGTAGGCGCACAAACCAAGGAAGCGCCGGATGGCTTTCTTATCGACAGGAGCTGGTAATTCGGCAACGGCGGCAAGCTTGTGCGGATCGGGTCGGATTCCTTTGGTGCTAACTACATGTCCAAGAAATTTTAGTTCTTTGTAGCCGAAGTGGCACTTCTGTGGCTTTAGTGTGAGGCCCGCCGACCGGATAGCCTCCAGCACGCTGTGCAGGCGGTGAAGGTGCTGCTCGAACGTGGTAAAGACCACCACCACATCATCAAGGTAGACAAGACAAGTCTGCCACTTGAGCCCTGTGAGGACAGTGTCCATCATTTGCTGGAAAGGTGCCGGCGCTGAACACAAGCCAAAAGGGAGCACTCGAAATTAGTATAGACCATCTGGAGTCACGAAGGTTGTTTTCTCACGGTCTCGCTGACCTACCTCGATTTGCCAATACCCGCTTTTGAGACCGAGAGAAGTGAAATAATGGGCACGACGAAGTCTATCCAGCGAATCGTTGATACGCGGCAGCGGATACACATCCTTTTTCGTCACGTTGTTAAGCTTTCGGTAGTCGACGCAGAAGCGTAGCGACCCGTCCTTCTTTTTGACAAGTACGACTGGCGATGACCACCGGCTGTTAGATGACTCAATAATGCCATCGTCAAGCATCTCGCTGACTTGCGTGCGTATCGCTTCACGTTCTTTGGCCGACACGCGGTAGGGGTTCTGGTGTATCGGGCGTGCGTCCTCGTACGTGATGTTCCTGTGTTGAGTGATGGACGTCTTGCGGATCTTTGAGCAACTTGCGAAGCAAGACCTGAACTCGAACAAGAGCGCTCGTAGCGCAGTCTGGTTATCGGTGGACAGATCAGGATTGATGTCAATATTACTCATTGACGTGTCGGCGGTATCCACTAGCTCCGACGTTAGACAGTTGGTGACGTTCGCTGCTTCGTGGGCAAACGCTATCGAAGCGCCATGAAAAAGATGTCGATGCTCGTTGCTAAAGTTGGTTACGAGCAATTCAGATCGGCCATCACCAAGGTGTATTACACTTCTAGCTACACAAATGCCTTGCTGCAGGAGGTGTTCTAAATTTGTCTCAGCCACCACATCGCCATCGCCAAAACACAGCATGTTACGTCGACTAGAACACTTGCTCGTGGAGGAAGCGTCACGCTCTGTTCAGAGATACGGATTACGTCGACACGCCTTCCGTCATCCTGCACGTTGATTGTTCGCTGGGCTGAGAACGTGACGCGGCGCTCTTGCAGATGAATGATAGCTCCATTTTCCTGTGGAAAGTCAACTCCCAGAATGAGGCCACGGGAGCATAAGCGTAGAACAAGGCAGTTGCTACGAATGTATACCCTTGAATCTGTACTCTAGTTGTGCAGGCACCCAGTGGAGTAACGACGTGGCCACCAGTTGTCCAAATCTGCGAGCTATACCACGGCGTGATGACTTTCTTCAGCTGCGTTGTCAGTTTCCCGATCAATATGGAATAATCTGCGCTGGTGTCCACTAACGTATTAACTGCACAACTATCAATTGTCACTGCTATGTCGAATGAAAGTCGGCCATCCTTTGCAGCAGTATGTGATGTCGGACCAGTTTATGTACGGTTCTGCGTCGATAGGAGGTCTTCAGCGCTTCCACGTTCAGCAACCACGCCCACAGAGGTCGCTCGGGCTAGTTTTCCCGGCGGGGGCTGGGAGACCGTGTGGTAGAATACCGCTGGGGCGTTGATGAAATTTGCCTCGGTGATGGCGAGCGCAACTGGCGCCCGGCAGATGGTGGTGCATGCTGCTTGGAGAGGTAGTTTTTGATTTCGCGCGGTCTCTGGCCGTAACGGGGTGGCGGTGAGTACGCAGACAAGTCGCGAAGCTCAAAACGGTGATATGGGCACTGGCGGTACAAGTGATCAGCTTCTCCGCAGTGAAAGCAATGAGGCCGGCGATCAGGTGTGCGCCAAACATCAGACTTCCGAGGAGACGTGCGCCGATCGTCGATGTACTGAACTGGTTGCACTGAACGATAGGCGACAGAAGCGCCAGGGACAAAGGCCAACGGTGGTGGCGTGTACGTGCCGTCATAGTACGGTATGTGCTGCGCTGACTGTAGTGAAACAGCAGGAAAAGGATGGACGAATAATGGCGGCGATGCAGCACGGCGTTTCAAGGCTTCCACATAGGTTGTCTCACGACGGTATTCAGCAGGAGCTGGCACAGCTGTATCAGGAGGCAAGGTGTCCCGGAGGGCCTGGTGCAGCTCATCTTTGATAACAGTTGCAATAGAGCTAACCGTAGGATGAGGTGTTACACCAGCCTTTTGTAACTCTTCCCGTACTATATCACGGATGAGTTCACGTAGACAGTCGTTGCTGGTTCTAGTGGCGGTGAAAATGTCGGCAGTAGACATGCCACTGACTTGCCTGTCGTATTGGTTGGATCGCTGCTGCAGCATTTTTTCCATTGTCACGGCCTCGGACAAGAACTCCGCGACCATCTTCGGAGGGCTTCGCACGAGGCCGGCAAAAAGCTGGTCCTTGACACCGTGCATCAAGTGACGCAACTTCTTGTCCTCCGTTATTTTTCAATCGGCCCGTCGGAAAAGGCGCGTCATGTCTTCGACATACGTGGTCACCGTTTCGTTTGACAACTGGACGCGGGCCAGAATAGCTCGTTTAGCTCGTTCTTGGCGATCAGCACTGGCATAGGTCCGCAGAAGTCTACGAGAGAATTCAGGCCACGTCATCAGCTGCTTCTCTCGGTTTCGATACCACGTACGAGCCCCGTCTTCGAGATAGAAATAGACACGACCAAGTCTCGCCGCGTCGTCCCACTAATTCAAGGTAACTACGCGCTCGAAGTCCGCCAACCAGTGCTCAACGTCCTCGTGTTCCGTGCCATGGAACGTCGCCGGTGTGCGTGGGCTTTCCAACGTGTAGCGGTTCAACGTCGTGCTTCCCGTGCCGGTTGCCGAGGTTTGCACCGAGGCGCTGGTCATATTTGTCGACGTGGTCGGAGCAGTATCATCGGCTTCCCGAGAAAAACCTCTGATTCGGTGGCTGGTCCGATGCACGGGAGTATTGACTGGCACTGGGCTCGTATCACGGCTTCCTGGGGGGGGGGGGGGTCTGCAGCATCCGTGAGACTACCTAGCACCTCCACCAGTTTGTCACGATGAGTCAGAAGTACTGGGGGATTTATTAAACCACCGGGTAGCTAGCGCTAGGACGATGCGTCAGTCGTGGCTGGCTCTCAAGCAGAGAAGAAACACGCGATCTTTTTTTTTCCTCCGGATCGAGAGCCGCTCTTGCCGTCAACCCACTACGTGCTGGTGGCAATATCCTCGACGCCAAGACGGTTTATTTGAACGCCACTGCTGAAAATAATGAAAGCAATGCTCTCCGCCAAACGACTTCGATAGCACTAACAACACGTCATTCACCACGCACAAAACCCACACCGCGTCACTCAACACGTTTATCTGAGGGTGGGATCATTTCGCTCCTATACCCAGCAAGAAAGATAGAGCATAAAACATTTATTTGCGACTAAGGAAGGAATGTCAGTGAGTGGGATCTTTTGTCCGGGATCCCATTGGCACGGGCCGCTGTCTTCCCTCGTCTCATGAGGGCCTCTTTGGTCTTTGGATCCAAGCTGGACAGAGCTGCCTCTCACCCTGCAGTGTTGTGTTGTACTCTGGGTAGTAGTGAAGAATTGTGTGGGCATTCGCATACCATGTGGTACAGGGTGGCTGTTTTATTTACGCAGAACCTGCATTGTGGTGCGTATGTGTCTGGATTTATCTTGGACAGTATGTATGGATTGGGGTAAGACAAGGTCTGCAGGCGACGCCACGCTACCTGAGAATCTTTACTGAGCTTTGGCCCCGGGGGCGGAAGTTTCAGTCTTTCGAGTCTTTGATATTCTAGAATATCTGTGTATGTTAGGCGCGGGTCCATACGCATAGCCGGGGGTGGGTGCGACATTCCGGAGTTGGAGGTCCGGAAGAGTTATTTTCGGGCCGAGGCATGGGCGAGCTCATTGCCTCTAACTCCGCAGTGGCCGGGTATCCATATCAGCTGTTTCCATTTGGTCTCTGAACATGAAGACGAGAGTAGTGTAAGAAGTCGAGTGTAAGTAGGGCGACAGCAATTCCTGCTTCTTGCATACTGTGTTGTCTTTGTCCTGGTCTGATATACAATCAACCTGGTTTCCACGATGAATGACGCTTGCTGTATATTTGCCGTTCACTTGTCCAGCTGCACCGACAAAGAAGGCGCCCTCAATATATAAGCAGTTGTCGTGAACTTTTGCCCGAGCCCAACGTCGATGTTCGTGAAACTGAGGGTGCATGTTGCGTGGCAGTGGTTTGATGATGAAGTCCTGCCTCCATTCATGTGGGATACTTTGTTTTCCCATTCTCTAAATGGGGGATTGCAGTTTGCTGCTATCCATCAACGAACGTAAAAAAAAACAAGGGGCGGCGTAGGCCAAGGTTTACAAACGCAAATCACGAGCCTGTGCTACTTTTCGCGCAAAATGAATGTTGTGGAACTCATGCACTACAAAAGCCCCGAGAATGATATACGCACGTAAAATAGGGCGAGTTTTAACTAGAATGGTCAGACGATAACACTTAGTTATTCAAAGTGACTGCAAAAAATCTCTCGAAGCTAATATGTGTACTCTGCGGGCTATAATCGAAAGCGAGAGTTACCACGTACTTTTTCGAAAGCTTCTCGTCTCGCAAGAACGAATCAGATTTATCGTGTAGCGGACGGTCCGGTGTATTCACTGATTAAAAAAACATACAAAGTGGCTTGTGTTCGTTTTTTGCTAACGCGTTGACACTCCAGCTAGCAGCGCCGAAGAAGGGATCAATGGGAGCGTCTGTTTACTGATAATTCTTGAGAGGACGCTCCTGAATTCCGCTAAGTGGTGCGACAGTCTATGAACATTGCAAATACCACGGGAAACTTCGAACTTTTATGCTTACTTTTCTTCTGCGACGACTTGAGGGACAGGTTTACTGCTTGGTTCTTTGAACAGTTCAGTCGGTGTCCCTGGGTGCTGCTTTAGCTCACCCGGGTCTTTAAAAAGCACTGCGGTCCTGTTATGCATAAGCACCCACTGGTCAGGACAGAATGGCAGCCACGTGTTGTTGCTTACGAATAGACGTGTCTGGAGTAAAAGACCACAAACAGGAATGTTCAACACATGAGTGAAAAGGTGATGACCAAACATGCACAGACTGTAATACTATTCGAATACAAAGCAAATAATGTTCATTTAGCTGTGCGCTCCCATGCTCACACTAATGTTCAAGGAATCTGGCCAACTGAATATGGAATAATTGGAGGACATTTTTCAGTTTGTTACACGTTGTGAGTGGAACTAGGATAGATCGAAGTAAAAACCGAGGATAAGATGAAGTAATTTACTCGTGGAAAAAACATGATAACATTCGAAATACAAAATAATTGTGTGCATTGCATTAAGTTATTGACAGTGGTTATAGAAAAAAAAGATAGGGGCATAACTCATGGCGCTTGATTATAATGTTAGGCGTCAACATTGCTTGCATACTAAACACGATGTTTGCAAGGTTGATGCAAGCATACTCTTTCACATAACAGAAAATCAAATTTACACAGCATGTTTAAATTGCCTGCTACATTATTTGAAAGGTATTTGTGCGAGTCAAAGATTTCGCAATTTATTTAAGTGAGTTCGAGGGAATGGTGGTGACTCCTCGATGCCATTTTATTTCCCTTTAGACGAACCAGCGGCCCAGCGGGACCATTCTCAGCGGTCATATATGACACAACCATTCTGTAAACACATAGACAATACCTCATCGTAATAATATTATACAGTGCACTGGTTATTATTACAGCCCACTAGATTTGAGTGAACCCTGGCTGCCACATTCGACAGGCGATCAACCCTCTCCGTGACTTTTACATCAGCTGCTTAGCACTCATAGCACTCGAGTACACCTTCGAAAAAATGAGGTGAATTGTTGCAAAATGTGCGAATATTTTTATTAGAGATATTCATAGGTGATGGTAAACGAAAAAAATGGCAGATACCACATACAGTGGGAATCAATTATACGCGAAGCATGAATGAGAAAGGTTGATATGTCAACTTAAATAAGCACAATGTTACGAGGTGGACGTAATTTATGTTTTACATCACTTCCGTATCACGTATTTCATGTTTGCGCCAGTCATTTGTGTTCGTCGCTCATCCACGTCACGTAAATATTGAATTTCGTATATGGAAAGCTTGTGAAACGGCCGCAAGCGCGCTTTAAGCGTAGCATGTTGCCATGTGTTACATGACACGCATATCGTGATAATCAAGTTTGGACGTGTTATTTACCTTCATTGTCTATTCACGTCACGTGATACAAAACTTTGCATATCTGAAGCGAGTGAAACGGCCATGAGCACGCTATGAGCGTAGCATGTAGTCATGCATTACATGACGCACATGTCATGGTTATAATGTTTTGACGTGTCATTCAGTTTCATCATCACTTCACCTCACGTAGCACTAAATTTGTTATACGTGACGTTAGCGAAACGACCGCGAGCACGCTCTGAGCGTAGCATGTAGTCATGTTTTAGATGACACATATATCATGGCTATCATATTTCGGCGTTCGATTTATCTTCATCGTCTACTCACGCCACGTGATACCAAGTTTGGTATATGTAGAGCTAGCAAAAGGGCTGCGAGCGCGCAATGCACGCAGCATGTAGTCATATGTTACACGACACGCATGTCATGATTATTACGTTTGGACGTGTAATTTTCTATCACCGTTCATTCACGTCACGTAATAAAGAATTTGGTATACGGGACGCTCGTGAAACGGCCACGAGCGCATCATGAGTGTGGCATGTATTCATGTTCTTACAAAACATGCATATCATGATTATCATGTTTGCCCCTGTCATATACCTTCGTCATTCATTCACGTCCAATAATACCAAATTTGTATATACGAAGCTAGCGAAACGACCGCCAGCGCACCATGAGCGTGGCGTGTAGTCATAACTTACATGACCTGCATGTGATGATTTCCACGTTAGGTTCTGTTACTTATGTTCGCCATGCAGTCATGTCATACCACACAGCTTTTGCAAAATCTCATGTGAACAAAACCTACGCTAGGACAGTAAGACCATGAAATGTGCACCATGAATTTCATGATGCACATGTTATAACTTGTCAGTTGTGCTCGTCATACCCTCATTTTATGAAATACCAATTTCGGTACATGTACCAGTATTGAAACGGCCAGGAGAGCTAAAAGGCGTGAGCGGCTAGATAGATAGATAGATGGATAGATAGATAGATAGATAGATAGATAGATAGACAGACAGACAGACAGATAGATAGATAGATAGATAGATAGATAGATAGATAGATAGATAGATAGATAGATAGATAGATAGATAGTTAGATAGATAGATACGGTCAAACTCGCTGAACTTGTCTAAGAAACGCTTCGCATTTAAAACATTGTCACCTTTCTCCCCAACAAACCATGTGGCCCAATCACGTGCTCAAGAATATTACGAGCGACATGCGGGTCTTGAGAGCTGGTGGGATCATCCAGGAGACAAATGTCGCTTCTTGAGTACACAGCTCGGGCTAGTGCTACTCGTTGCTTTTGGCCTCCACTCAGCATTTCACCCTGCGATAAAACAAGCTTTGTTATCAGCGTCACGATAAAAGTGACATTATAGAACAAGTCGCAAGCACTTGAAGGTCCGTCTGGTGCAGACTATTCCCCAGGCTGGCTCGTTTCGTTAATGCTTTGATTTATATGTGGGGTTTAACGTCCCAAAACCATCCTATGATTATGAGAGACGCCGTAGTGGAGGGCTCCGGAAATTTGGACCACCTGGGGTTCTTTTAACGTGCACCCAAATCTGAGCACACGGGCCTACAACATTTCCGCCTCCATCGGAAATGCAGCCGCCGCTGCCGGGATTCGAGCCCTTGACCTGCGGGTCAGCAGCCGTGTACCTTAGCCACTAGACCACCACGGCGGGGCTCGTCTTGTTAATGCCGTTTGCGACCAGACAAAATGATAGCAATAACTTAAAGAGTTTTATTTTCAGTGGCCTCCAAGCTACAGCATATGCAAGATCTTGTGTTATTTGTACTTCCTGCTGCACTTACAGAGAATACAAACCAACACAAAAATTTGCGTTAGCGGAATGCTGGGGGCACCCTGTGCTAAAGCACTTTAATATTTTCGGAGTAGAAGTGCCCAGGCAAAATCTTTCGCAGACTTCCAGCACGTGAATACCACTCTCGAAACACCAAAGTGGAGACTCATTTTCGGGGCTCTAAATAAAGTTCAGTCTACCACATTTGGTCTCTAATTATTAGAGCCTTCTCTGTAACGAGTGCTGGCCCGAAGTTCACGTGATCAAATTGTGGCTTGAGCCACGTGTATTTAGGCACCAAGTTGTCTAAGTTTCAGGAGCCTTTCACGGCGGTGTCTCTAAAACATATCAGAGTTTTTGGGCTGTGAAACACCGAGAATAATTGTTCTGAGATGCCAGTCACACTTTGCCGTAGTCGCAATTCTTCACGCCCATTTGGTGTATTTCATGTAGGTACAGCAGGTGTATTTCATGTGTGCATATACCTAAATAGAGGTGCACATAAATAACCCTCAGAGCTCGAAATCTCGGAAGGCCTCTATTCTATGGTAGCGCTCGTAATCATATTATAGTTTTTGGATTTTAACATCTCAACAATATTTATTGATTTTGTGGTCTGACAATCCAAGCGTCGCGGATAACTTAATGATTGCATCAAAAACGAAGCAACTTTGTTGGCCTTTGCAAACTTTTTAGCCGTACTCTTTTTCTGCACATTCTAACACTTAGTTTATTTTTTAGTTTCAAAAAAAGTCACAGCTTTTCGCAAAGGTGAACAAAATAACGCAATAGCAACAAACTGGAAGGTCATGTGCCGATTGGCAAGCAGATTGAATTGTGCTCCGCATTTCTCATGCAAAAATGGCCCCGTATCTGCATGTAATCTGCAAACGTCGTCGAAAGACGATAGTCTTGCGTGTGGAGAGAGTGAACAAAACATTTATTTGATGTTCTGCGCAAGAAAAATCGGCGAATGGTATTTCGGAAGCGTGCAGCGGAGGCGAACGAGCGCATCAAGTCACGTCACTCGTGAGACATGAACGCCATCTGGCAGTTTTTTTTTTGAAAAGAAAGCGCGTGTTTCTGAGACGGGCGAGCGCGTCCATATCAGAGACACGCGCTTTGTTGAGGTGTGGAATGCAAGGCGACGGGTAGGGGCCACCACCGCGTCTTCTTAGCAAAGCGTTGGAAACGCTCGCCTTTCCGTGCAAGCGTTGCATGGTCAGCGCAGTGTGATAAGCGCTACGGTGCTTAGAATTACGTATGTATGCCTTTTCTAGTAAAATACGAACACGCAGAATATATACGTGTTGTTATGACGTCTCAGATATGCGCAATAATTGCTTTTTAATTGACAATCACACATGTACGAACGCTGATTTCTGAGCAACATTGGTGGGCGCTGCGGATGGGGTCGGCCGTTCGAGATATCGGCTGGTGCTGTTAACATACCCGGTTCCCGGTAACGGTGGATAAACAGACAAGTGTACAGACAGACGGACAGACAGACAGACAGACAGACAGACAGACAGACAGACAGACAGACAGACAGACAGACAGACAGACAGACAGACCAAAGTTCTTGCGTTGAAGGTGCCCAAGAAAGACCATCGTCTTTAAACATACGCACGAAACGTACTCAGAGGTACAGATGAACGCGAATAAGCGTCTCAGTTGTTACTTCGCTGTGTCTAAAAGGCGCGCCCTTTTCGGAAACTGAGGCTGTGTAACAATTGCAGTGACCTTTGTGCGTCCGGTAACTACAACAGAATCCTTCCGACGAAACCCAAAGGCTAGCCAAGACATACCATCATCCCCACTGCAAGATAAGGGCGTGCAATCGAGTGTACAACCTCTTATTTTCTACGTGGGCCAAAGTACGCCTGAGACATGAGAGCCGCCACGCGCTCGATGCGCCCTCTAGCTGATAATGCTGAAAGCATGGAAGTTCTCTCCCTCCCCCTTAAAAAATGCTCGCCAACCACGGTAAGCGGTAGATATGAATAACTTGCCATTTAATCAATTAAGGGGTACCTTTCAGTGGCTCAGTGGTTAACGTCTCGCATTCGCGACGTGGAGGTCCTACGTTCGGTTCCGCGACGGAGTTCCTTTTTTTCTGGGATATTTTTTTGCGTTTTCATATATATAGATACGTATACATATATGATGTATGACATCGACGCCGACGGTGGCGGCGAAATCCAGCCGAGAGTGTCCATATAATTGCTATCGCAATAAAAGAAATTGATGCTTTAACGTGGAGCGTGACCCTAATGGAACTCACAAATAAAAGCTTACCTCTAAAAGAACTTCTGAGCAAAAAAATAGTCATTATTTTGTAGGGCGCTCTCTGAAGTTGACTTGATTCTTGTACGTGTCCTCCTTGCTTACGACCTTTTCGGGAAAGAATGGGTGGTTCAACACGTGGTGACTGACCCCTACAATTGTAGTGTCAATGAGGCTCAACAGTTGTCCCTAATGGCCGTTGTTTTAACCTATAGGTGTGTACCTATTCTGCGCACTAACTAAAGTTAAGATAATTATTATGGGGCACCTGTAGCATTCATGAAAACTTTCATGCCTTAACACCTACAAGGAGTTGCTAAAAAATATTGCTTATCACTTTCACCTTACCTCAACGTGCACTTTGTGAGATGGGTTCCAATTTACTATATTTATTGAATGCGCTAGTTACTTACTAATTTTTCCGGCCGCTACTAAGATTAGGCTGACTAGCAGCTTAAGGAGTATTACACCAAAGTTGCGAAGTCATGTGAGTGGCATTCGGCATGTTTTGATATGTAGTACATACGCAAAAAAGCGAAATGTCAAACATTTCGAGACCACGTTGAGTATGCCGGGTGTTTTTTCAACTAATTTCAGAAGCTTATTTTATTAAGTTTTCATTTTAGTAACACACCCAGTAGCTACTGCAAATAACGCACGCTATTCATTACGTATTAATACACCGTATTGACACTGTGGTGGCTTACCTTCTCCCCTGCTTCAGTTAGGTCGCCAGCCGCAAATCCCTCGATGTCACGAATCATTTCACAAGCTTCCAACACTTTCCAGTAGTACGACTCATCAACACTGCGACCAAATATTATGTTGTCTCTTATGGTCATGTTGAACACGTGGGGCCTTTGACATAGAACACCAATCGTGCCCTGCGCATATGTCGCGTGATGGACATTCATAGCACTAAGAACACTAAACACATTCATAGCACTAAAAAATACTAGCTTTTTCTACAATTACAATTGGGCTATTTCCCACGATGTCACTCTAAGGCTTCTAGCTAATACTGTGGTAATACTGCAACATACAATTCTGGCACCAGATGGTTCAGTGCTGAATATTCTTGTCCACTAAATACCTGTCAAAAACAGGGCATAGGAAAACCGACGCAGGAACAAAGCCAAGACCACACAGACGCCAACTAACGGCAAGGAAGCAGAACAGTGGTAAAAAAAGAAAGAAGTCGTGGAAAGTTATGACTGCACGTGCATGATAATATGGAGGACCAGCAATGAAACGTATATATATATATATATATATATATATATATATATATATATATATATATATATATATATATATATATATATATATATATATATATATATATATATATATATATATTGTCAGCATTATTCATGCGCGTCATCCTATATGTACATACATCATAATCATCAGTCTGACCTGTGTTGTGGGGCAGAGGCTCGGCAAGTAAAAAGAAGTGTCTTGCAGCCAAAATGTTGCCTTACAGGTCGAGTCAGTTAGGTACTTGGGGGTAACCTACACCGAAACACTTAACTGGAGTCCCCACATAGAAAACATGGCTGCTAAAGGAGCACGTGCCGCAGGAATGCTGCGCAGGCTCAGTAATTATCGTGCCGGTTTGCGTAGAGATATTGCATGTACATTCGACCGATATTAGTATTCGGCTGTGTTTTATTTTCTGGCGCTCCGGCCTGCGAAGTTCGACCACTGATTCTGCTAGAACGCGAATCTTTACGCTTATGCCTAGGGCTACCCAAATATGTTGCCAACAATTTCCTATACGAAGAATCCCGCCTGCCTTCTCTTATCAAAAGATTTCATATTCTAACAGTACGTACATTCCTTAAAATCTATGCATCACCTCAGCGGAGGGCACAGTATGTGTTCATTAACCAGCAGACCTCATTTTTCAACCACCAATGGCCTAAATTAAGGTGTTCTCAAGTAATATTCACTCAGAAACTTTTAGAGCCCTTAAGAGTTAACCTTTCGAAAACACTTGTGCTCAACACTGTAGGTGCATTTAGGATAGAATTTGACGACATATATCCCAAAAATGCAAAATATTTACCACATCAGTATATAAATGGCATTTTGGAAGATCATTTGGCCAATATAGAAACATCCATTGTGATAGCGCCTGACGCTTCGGTTTATGAAGAGAAGGCTGGCGTAGGAATCGTATCATCCTCTCTAGATTGGGCTTTCTCAATTCGATTACCCGACTTTACACCTATTTACCAAGCTGAACTACTGGCAATTGTCCTTGCATTGCGTAAAGTTCCGCAAGATATATCAGCGGTGATTGTTCTTACTGACTGTCTCTCGGTCTGTACTGCCTAAAGCTCACCAAGTTTCTCGCGTACCTTAGAAACTTTCTACTCGCTCATTCCTACACATGTGCGACTCGTCCGACTAGTCTGGGTACCAGGCCATAGAGGTTTAGCTCTGAATGAGCATGCAGATACACTAGCTATATCTTCCCTTGATTGTCATGTGTTACCTATTTTGCCTACTTCGGAATATATCACAGCAGCACGCTTTGAAAAATGCACAACGGCCAATAACTTTGAAAAATTCCCTTTGTTTGTATCAGACTTCCCACAGCTAAAGTTCCCTTGGAAGAACAAGTGGTGTTCATCAACAAAGGAAGAAATAGTGATTACCAGGCTGCATTGTCGAGTCCCCTCATTGAACTTTTACCTTCACAGATCGGGTCTGGCACAGTCGCCTTTGTGCCTTTATTGTAATGAGAGGGAATCTTTGGAGCACTTCTTTTTGTCATACCGAAAATTCAAAACTCAAAGGGAAAATCTACTAGAAGAACCCCTACGAAAGTTGGGCTTAGACTTAACAATTCCGGTGATTCTTTCATTTGGCGCAGTCGCATTTGGATTCAGCCACAGGAGCGTTTTTACCGCTGTTACAAATTTCTTACGAGAATCTAAAAGATTGGAATGCTAAAAATAAGTAACTTCAGTTGTTTCATGTATAACTTTTTTTCTTCTTTGTATGTTTATATGTTTTCTTTCAAGGTTTTTTTAGAAATTTAACATCTTTTTATTATTACCTATATTACCTAATTAACCCCACCCTCTCTTTCAAGAAGTGAATTATTTAAAAAGCAAGACACCGTCCCATTCATGGCCTACCCCCCCAGGTGGGTTGCGCCAAGGTGTTGAGGAACCAACCAACCAACCAACCAAATTACAAGTGGTGGAGAGTGCTTTCCGGTCCCCTGGTCCTCTCCCTGCAGCACTTTTTCGTTATCTTCGACTACGAGTCATCCCAGGAGCTCCGGTCGGGTCGCCGTCTGCGCAGTCAGCCTACGGTCTTGTCACAAGACGAGCACAACAACATGGCTCCATCCACCGCACCTTCACCCCTGGGCATGCCTTCTTGGACTGTCACCGCCCCTCAAAAAGATCCGCCGTTGTTCGCCGGCCTTCGCGGTGAAGACGTTGAAGACTGGTTGGATGAGCACGACCGTGTGAGTGCGCTTAAGTATTGGTATGATTCTGTGAAGCTGTCCTGCGTACCGTTTTATCTGACGGGTGTCGCTGAGACATGGTTTCTCAACCATCAGCTGGATTTCCCAGACTGGCCTACCTTTAAGCAGCAGCTCCGTCAGATATTTTCCAACCCTTCTGTACGTGCAGACATCACCAATCGGAAGCTTGCTGAACGTGTCCAGCACTCCGGCGAGTCCTATACTTCGTACATTGAAGATGTCCTCGCCCTATGACGTCGCGTCAACAGCTTGATGGCTGAGCATGACCGCGTTCGCCACTTGCTGAAGGGCATAGGTGCCGTCGCATTTAACGCTCTGGTGGCAAAGAACCCGACCACTGTCGCTGATATCATCAGTACGTGTCAGTGACTCGATGAACTTCAACTGATACGTTTACAACAGCACGAGTTTTTATTGAGGGCATCCTTCACCATATACAGTTCCTCGTTCTGTCATCGTGTACCAATGCGCTAATTTTAGGATGGGACTTTCTCTCCTCAGCTTCAGCCGTGATATCTTGCCGTCAGAGGGTCATTCGCATGCCAGATACTGCGCTTTCGTCTGATAACTATGCCCATAGCCAGCGTTTCGTCACCGCTGATGACTGTTTTATTCCTCCAGGTAATGAGCATATTCTGACCCTGACATCAGATAGGATCGGTACTGGTGATGTGTTCCTAACACCGTGTGGACGCTACATCCCTGGTGGACCTACCATCGCTCCTAGCCTGGTGCGCTTTCGTGACGGAAGAGCATTAGTTACGGTAGTTAACCCCACTTCATTGCCTGTTGCACTGCCTTAGGGCACCAGCGTGGTTTGCTTCACAGATACCGAACCACTTTCTCTGGTGCCCCTTCACGCAGACTCGCCATCTTTCTGTACGAGTACTGTTCACCATGCAACAATGGCTGCTTTAACAGCCACAATAAATCCCGATCTCACGTCAGCGCAAAAGCAAGAACTTTTGTGTATGCTTCCAAAACACAGCGCTTCATTTGATGTATCTTCCAAGCTTCTGGGTCGCACTTCTGTCGCCGTGCATCGAATTGAAACGGAAGGCAATACAATCGTACGCCGCCTCCCATATCGAGTGTCGTCCGCAGAGCGGAAAATCATCGAGGACAACGTTGCTGCTATGCTCACACGAGATGTTATCCGGCCTTCGTCCAGCTCGTGGTCTTCACCTGTAGTGCTATGCTAGTCCAAAAGAAGGATGGTTTGATGCGATTCTGCGTTGATTATCGAGCACTTAATAAGATCACGCGCAAAGACGTCTACCCGATGCCACGAGTCGACGAGGCACTTAATTCTCTGCAAGGCGCTGAATTTTTCTCCAGCCTCGATTTACGGTCTGGTTATTGGCAAATGCCTATGCACAAAGCGGACAAAGAAAAAACTGCCTTTACAACACCAGACGGGCTGTACGAATTCAACGTCATGCCATTCGGTTTATGTAACGCTCCTGCCACGTTTGAACGCATGATGGACACACTTCTACGCGGCCTAAAATGCAAAACATGTGTTTGTTATCTAGATGACATCGTCATTTTCTCCTCTTCGTTTCGTCAGCATCTTGATCGTTTGGACAAAATTTTGACGTGTATTTCCAGTGCTGGACTTCAGCTAAACACAAAAATGCCATTCCGCCAACAAGAACATCAAGGTGTTGGGCCACCTTGTCAGCAAAGATGGAATTCGTCCGGACCCTGACAAGCTTGCTGCCGTGATACGCTTCCCTCGGCCAGAAATTCAGAAACACCCACGAAGTTTCCTGGGCCTGGCATCCTACTTCCGCCGCTTCATTAGTCATTTTGCTGCCATCGCGTCGCCACTGCACATGCTGCTCACATCCGGATCAAATTTCGCTTGGAACGACGACTGCGAGCGTGTCTTTCAAGCCCTCAAGAATGCTTTAACGTCGAACCCTGTTCTGTGCCATTTCGACGAGAACGCACCTACATGTCTGCACACCGACGCGAGCGGCCATGCCATTGGTGCAGTTCTTCTACAGCGGGATGCCACTTCAAGGGAAAGAGTTTTAGCGTATGCTAGTAGTGCTCTTACTGCTGCTGAACAGAACTACTCCATAACTGAGCAGGAGTGCCTTGCTGTCGTTTGGGCCATACGAAAATTTCGTCCCTACCTTTACGGACGCCCCTTCACGGTTATTACAGACCACCACACCTTGTGCTGGCTCTCGACACTGAGAAACTTGTCTTGTCGCCTCGGTCGTTGGGTGCTCCGCCTACAAGAGTATGATTTTTACGTCATCTATAAGTCTGGCAAAAGACACCAAGATGCAGATGCTCTCTCTCGCTGCCCCCTTCCACTTTCATCACAAGTACGTCAGCCTTTTGCTCATCTGGTGAGCA